CTAGGTCCCAGGGCTGCCCTGGTTATGGCTGCAGCATGGTTCCGCCTCTGCTGCCCAGACACTGCTACTGGAGATTGAAAGCAGGATTCAAAGGCTCACCTCCTATGCAGTTATACCCCTGGAGAGCCTCCACTCTCCTGAGCATGTGGGGCCCTTCAGAGTTCTTTAGCCTGCCCACACCTCCCCCCACAGAGCTAACCCACTTTTCCTGGGTTCTGTCTTAAACTCAGAAACAAACACTTTTTCTGTTGTTCCACGTGAGTCTTGCTAAGACTTTTCATTCTTTAGCAGCTTTGGTTTTGTAACAGGTAGCAAGTGTGTGAGGAACTGGAAGGCAAAGGTCCGAGGGGCTCCTACTGATAACAGAGCCCTAGCCGTGTCTTTGTCTACTCTGGAGAGTGACTTGGTCTGTTTGACCCCTCCTGATAATGATGATGAATCTGTTGACCTGAATCTAATCTCAAGAGAGTAAAGATGGCTGCCTAGGCACCACCATGCTTCACACACTGATAAGCAGGGACCTACAAATGTTAGCTCTTAGGGCAATCGAAAAACCACGTTGTCTCCAGCTTCCATGACCTTGTGTGGGCATGTGGGAACTTGGTATCTGTCTGCCAGTAGATTGGTGACAGGGAATGTTTAGTTTAATAGATGATACCATTTGGTTTTATCCTTCAAATCTAGAGAGCCATAGCTTCCTGGCCAGGGGAGAGTCTAATGTGTCTGTTTACTGTGGCCTGGAGCCCCCAGGATTCTGCCACCTGCCTGGCAGACAGGACTGAGCCTCCAAGAAGAAAGCCCCATCTCAGCACTTGTCATAGGTGGCACACCCACCCAGTTCACTCAACTCTGATGGCTTAGTGGAATGTTGAGAGTGAACTTTCTAAAACTTAAATCCAGCCTTATTCTCCTGCTTAATGCCACGGACAAGGGTCTTTAGGATCTCCTCTGTATATCTCCAGGTTCCAACTTTGATGCTCATGTCTTCTTTCTGTGGTACCCACCCACCCCTGCTCACTAGTACCCAGTACCTCTGCTCACTAGTACCCACTCTGCTTACTACTACTCACCCCTACTCACTAGCACTCACTTTTACTCACTGGCACCCACCCCTGCTCACTGGTATCTGGTACTCCTACTCACTAGTACCCTCCCCACTCACTAGCATCCACTTCTACTCACTAGCACCCATCTCAGCGCACACACACACACACCATTCATTACCACTATCTCCTGCCAGTCCAGATCCTCACATATCCAGTTCTACCTGCAACACAGTTTGAGCTCACCTCATGTGATTTCACTCCATGATCTTTCTCTCACAGTGCAGTTCCTGCCAGAAATAAATGTTCTTCAGTTTCTATATCCAGTGAACTCTTTTTTTTTTTTAAATCTTAGAATAGCCAGTTCTCCACATTCCCGGGTTCCTTTTCTGTAGATTCACCCAACCTCAGATCAAAGCTCTTTGGGGGAGAAATCAAGAAATTATTATCTGCACTGAACATGTGTTGACTCTTTTCTTCCTTGTTCCCTAAGCAAGACAGTGTAACAATCACTCTATAGCCTTTACATCATATTCTATACTATAAATAATGCAAAAATCAGTTAACTATATAGGTGAGTGAACATAGTTGTGGAAACACTAAGTATTTTAAAGGGACCTGAGCACCCTGGATTTGGGGATGCCAAGGGGTCCTGAGTACCCCAGGACACCAAGGGATAATTTGACTCAGCCTTGCCTTTCTGTAGAGTCTTTCTTTTCTCTTTCTCTCCCACCATGGAGCCACCTGCCCACATGATATCCTCTGTGGTCCATCTGTTAGAACTCCCAGTGTGGGTTAGACTATGGAGGTCTGAGGCTGTTACCCATCCTCATTTCTCCAGCATCTCAAGCATTCAGTGTATAATATGGTAGATGCTTGGTTTTTTTTTACATACAGGCAAGACATTAATTGTGAATGCAGGGAGAGTAAGAAAGCGCTTATAGGAAGGACCTTGGGCATAACTAGGAAACACATCCATTTCACCGGGACAGTGACCTTTCTCCACAGTAAGATGTCTATTTGAATCCTCTTTGCATTTCTGCAAGGGAATGGACAGTTACAGGGACTTGTATTGCTCCTTTCTTATTCAGTTTCCTTTTCATCTGCTGCATGTTGTGACTCTGAACCACAGGTGGGACAGACACCTTTACTGTGGAGACAAACTGGCAGCCACTGTCTCTTTCCCCCAGAGATGACAGGTTGCCCTGGTTGCCCTAAGTGAGATCCCTGTATCCAACCCTGGCAGCTGAGACCTTCTAAGGGATCACTCTGAAATTACTCTAAGCAAGAGAGCCAGCTCCATCATTCCAGTCAGGCTGGCCACCATAAGAGCCTAGCAGGCTCTCTATTTCCTTGTCACTATGCCACGCTCTAACGATGTCCCAGAGTCCTCTCCAAGACATAACCTGGCTTCTTTGTTCATACAAAGTCAAGAGAGAAATTCTCAAGTGTGATACCTTGGACTCCCCAGAAACCCTTTACCCTGTAGATGGATTGGCCCATGCCAACCTAGTTGTGCCATGCATCCTGGAGGCAATGGTGTAGGCCTGCTCACTGAGCCTGGCACTCACCTTCCCACCAGCCTACAGGCCACAGAATAAAGGCCACAACAGGACATTGAGCAAGATGGGAAGTTAAAGGTACTAATCATATCCATCACCGGCTGGGTCCATCTGTACTGGAGCCTGTCTCTGGTGATGGCACCACGGGACATGCATTGGAAAGCTGCCTGTCCACTGGCTTGTCCAGCCTCAGCACCAGACATTCTAATTTCCTTAATAACAGGTTACAGATCCTGCATCTATAAATGTAGCTAAACCCTTCTCGACCTTTCTTTATTTTTAGCCTATATTGCTGCTCTGGATATAACAGTTTCCATGGTTGATTACTTGTTCTGTAAACACCTTTACGTCAAGTGGAAAAGCAGTTGTCTCTCTCAAGCTGGAAGATACTGTCTGTGTTTCTAATTCCAGTGTTGGCAACAGATACGTGTTTGACCCTTGACACAGTTGCTCAATTTAGGGAGTGGGGGGAGAAGGCTGATGTCACTGTTCAACAATAAAGTCTTAATATTCTCCATCTTTTCTCCTCTTGGGTACCACATTTGCTTTCATTTGTTTCCCTGGAATGTTCTTTCCTGCCTCTGGCTTCTGTTGAAATGTAGCAGCTAAGAGAGTCAGTAATGGATGTTCTCAAATGCAGACTGTTTTAAGACCAGGCCTACCGCCTCAGTGATCGGCACTGTTTGATCTTGGTGTCTTGTGTCTTAGACCTGTTTTCAAAGACTGCTAAACAAAGCCTTTCCTTCTGGAAACCACAGAGGCTGGTGTGTTCAGGCACCTCAGGTAGTTGGCATTTGTCTTTCATGCTTGTGTTATGGATGCCTGCCTTGACCCTGATCTCAATTGTTTCCCTCGTTTGCTTCCACTGATCCTGTACTCCATATAGCCCCACTCTCAGGCTCAGAGAACACCACCGATGAACAGTTAGAAAGAATGCAAGGGCTAGAAGATAGGATGCAATGTTGCAGAACATTGTCTCCTGGGCTTCCAATGTCTCATGGCTCTTGTACCCATGAACTCAAAGCAGCTATGGTTATCTGCCAAAACCTTCGTAAGATTGGATCCAGCAACATTTCATCATGAACCAGGGAAGGGCTCAGGAGCCTCCCTCCCTGACAACTATTAACAGTTACGTGGGGGAGATGTCACTTTCTTCAGTGGTGTAACCACTGATAAGTTGGTCACACTCAAGTAACCTCTCATCCATGCTCAGGAAGCACTCTGTTTGTTTATTTATTTATTATTTATTGGTCACACACAGAGATGAAAGTAGGAGGCGCCTTGTTGGGAAAGAAGATTTTCTGGTGGAGAAGGGGTAGGATAGAACAGGGTAATAGGAAAAAAAAAAAAAAAAGAACAAAAGTTCATTGCATATATGTATGAGACTGCCAAAAAACTAAATTTAAAAACTCTTCAAAGAACTATATGGTATCCTAAACATACATTAAGCAAATCAGCTTAGTACATTAAAATGTTAGTTTGTCCTAAAGAGTATGTTACTCTACCAGTTGCAACTTGAATATGTTACTGTTAGCAGTGCCAGCAACAGAGAGACGCTAACCACTGGGGAGCACTCTTAACTTTTCCTGGGGCTTATACAAGTATCATCTCTGTCCTTTAGAAATTTGCTAAAAGGGAAGATCTGATCTGAAAATCCAGGGACACACGGGACAGTTTCGTGTCTCCTACATCATCAGATCTGGGATTAGACCTCGGATTCCTTTTCTCAGCTGCTCCTAGATCACTCTATCAATCCACTTACTTTGTTTGTTTGTTTCCTCAAACAAGTAAGCACCTTATGCAGCACCTTAATTAACAAGAATGAGGGTTAATGAAAGAAAGCCCTTGGTAAATAACATTAGCAAAGATGATGTTAGAACAGGCTCCATCTGTTGGCTATTTTTCCGACTACCTCATTGTCTTCTAAAGTATTGCAGTTAACCTAACAAAGTGTGCTTTCCACCAACACCTACCTCTGTTACTTTCCTTAGCTTAACAATTTGCATGAAGTAGTTCTATGACCAGTTTTCCTTCCCAATGCCTTATTTGGTATAGAATTAGCTTTCCTGCTGGAGCCCTCACCCAGAGATTAATAGCCGTGACAATTTCATTATGTCTGGGCAGTTGGTGGCACATGGATGCCTAGTGTGCTCTGATCACACAGACTCCTGGTGTGTCCTGATCACACGGACGAGTAGTGTGCCCTGGTTGTGGATGGCAGCTCCCTGCTGCAAGGAGGTGGAAGCCTCTGGCTTCCTAATGCTTCACTGTGTAGTTCAGAGAACACAGCCTTGGCTGCTGGTTTTCACAGTGCCTGTGACTAGATGGGGAGACACAGGGCTTGTAAATAACTTTCCAGGGTTCACTCTGAGGCTATTTATCCTTCTCTTTTTAGACTCTGGAAGGAGGCTCTTACCGGGGGAGCTTGAAGGACCCTACAGGCTGCCTGAATGAAGGGATGACCCCTTCCACACCTCCTAGAAACCTGGAAGAAGAACAGAAAGCCAAGGCTCTGAGAGGCAGGATGTAAGTGGCCCGCCACCCTATCCTGGTCCGTGTGTGTGCCTGACAGTTGCAGGGAGGAGATTAGACAGCCCGTGCTGTCTGTCTAACTACTCGCATCCTTTCTCAGTGAAGACGGCCCAGGTCTATACAGTACAACACTGAACATCAATAGGCCACTTTGGCACTGCTTGAAGGAAGCTTGGGTTGGGGAAATAGTCTGTGAGATTGTTGTTATTGACAAAATGTGGCTATAACCAAGATCTAATACAACTGTGAAACATGCTTTAAAAAAATAATGAAAATAATGGAGTCAAGAGAACAAGGGAGTGGCTTCCGTGGATCTACAGCGACAGAGAGGCCGGCAAGGCCCAGTTCTGCTTCTTCTCCCAGGTCTTTCATTTCACATCTATTTGTAGGTTTCATTGTGCATGAATCTCCTCTCACTCTGAGTGACTAGTGTAAGATCCCATTCACACCTCACAAAACCCACACGCTGTGCGAGACCGGCGTTCTCTACCTTGATGCAAAGTCAGTCGCCTGGTATTTGAGATAGTGAAGAGTATGCTAGACACCAGCAAAGCAGAACCATACTCCTCCAGAACTTAAGTTTTCTCCTTTGGAGTCGATTTCTCTGGAAGCAAGCTTCCAGTCACTCAGTGTGTGAGGTTGTGAGTAGCAAGCAGACTGGGCTAGGTGAGTATTGAGAGTCCCATCTTAGTCTCTGTCTTCCTCTCTCCTTTACATCCATGCCTCCTTTATCCAGACCACAGACATAAAAATGAGCAGAACTAAGTGAGTCCAATAATCCAAGTTCTCTTGCTGCTGGCAAATATACAAAGTAAACATTTAGAGCTTTGTCTCCTTGGAAGCAAAAGTGGTAACATCATAGCAAGAGCCTGGCATCAAAGCAGGGCTGTCACCATATGGTGGAGAGGAGAGGAACTGATACCCGTGTTTACTCCCAGAACTTTTCCAGGGTCAGAAGAACTCCCAAGAATTATGTGAATGAGCTGTCATCTCCTAAGTGAAGTTTCCAGAGCCTTGTACAGCATGTGCCCTTCCCTGGCTTCTCCCGTGCTTGTTACAGTAGTGGGGGTGGGGAGTGGTCGGAACTCGTTCCTATCCCTTGGTCAAGGTGAAGCACGGCTTATGTCAGGGAAGCAATGCTGTAACATATGGTCCTTGGAAAAGCCAGTCTTTCCAATTGTCACTCTTACTGAATGGGCCTTAAGAGCACTTGTCATTACCCAAATGAGATATTGCTTGACTTTGTTATAACAAGCCAGAAACAGTTGTTGCTCTCTTAGCCCGCTGTACCACCCCCTCTTTCAACACACCCTCCGTTTTCCATATCCTGAAGGCTCTTAAAAACTGACCTGTTGAATGTCTCTGACTCTTGATGCCCTGGCTCTAACCTGCTGGATCTCATGGCCAACATGAAAGAGCAGATACATGATATTCAGGTATAAATACCGTGAGAGGCTAGAAGCAGAGGTGTAGACACTGGAGGCACCATCAGGGGATGGCAGGAGGTCACCAAGAAGTCAAATGAGAGCCACATGGAGAGAGGATGGAAACAAAGTGTCGTTTGTATAGAAGGAGGAAGATGCTGAGAGGAGACCTGCCTCTCATCAGATGCTTGTTAAGCACACCACCTGCCCCACCAGTGGGACAGATCAGTGAGTAACACACAGAGCAACAACACAAAGCCCTCACTGCTGCCAGGGTTACATTCTAATGGGAGAAATCAGACAAAGAAAATAAGTTAAGTAGTAGGTTGGAATCTGAAGAAGAAAGAAAATAGAGCAGAATGAAGAAGATAAAGCATGGGTAAGGCTGCAGCTTAAAATGGTTCTGGCCTTGCACAAGGAGCAGGAAGAAGTAAGGAACCACAGTGTCTTCACAGTGGCACACACCCAGTGCCAAAGCTCTCAAAGGTCACCCATCCTCTACCGGCGTGAAAGAGGGCAGGTGTGAAGGTGTGAGATAGCTAATCTTCACTGGTAGCTTGACCAGATGCACATCCCCTGGGAGACACAACTCTGGCCATGTCTGAAGATGTTTCTAGAAGACCGACCCTGAGCGTACATGGCACCATCCCAGGGAATGGGGTTCTGTACTAAATAAAAAAGAACGAAGTGGAATCTGAGCTGAACACCAGTGTTCATCTGTGTGGATACAATGTGACCATCCACCCCCCTACACACACACTGTTTCCTCCCTACCATGGTAGAGCTTACTCCCTTAAACCTGAGCCAAAAGAAATCCTCACTTGTCAGTTGCTTTCCTCAGGCATTTTATCATAACAAATGAAAAGTAACTAAGTCAAATCCATTTGTTGCCAGGAGAATTTCAGGTAGACCAAAGAGTAACATTCATTTGAGAGTAACTTTTAATGTAGAGATTGGCCATGAAAAGGCATTGCATTATTTTCAGTTTGTTTGACTGTTGATCATGCAGTGCCTTGAAATGCATGTATATCGATCTAGTTTTGTTTTGTCTTGTTTCTGAAGGAGCCTTGTTAAATAGCCCAGGCTGGCCTCAAACTCTTGATTTTCCTGCCTCTCAAGTACTGGGTGATGATTATGCTCCTTTCCTCACCAGCTAGACTTCTCTGATCGTGTCTCATCTCCCCAGGGACTTTCTTGGCCCTTCATAAGAATCCAGTGCAGCTCCCATTCCTAGAGACTCAAAAACCAAGGCAACCTCCGTTGGTCAACAAACAACTGAAGATAAAAATATCTCTACCTGGCAGAAGAGCACCAGCTTTCCTCTCCAAAGGGCTAGCCCAACCCTGAATTCTCACTTTCCTGTGGGTTTTCACAAACCACTCTCTTCCAGGAAGTAACTTGGGTCTTGCTAAAGATATATCTGAAGGCTTCTATTTGTTCTTGCCGGTTCCTTCCGGTGGCCTGAAACACATGCTCGTGTGTTGGAAGAAGACAGCCAACTGGAAGTGCTGAGCTCAGTGATAAAAACGCATGTGTTCTTTGCTCCCTCCATATGCTCTGAGGTCCCAGACACCTCCCAGTCCCCCTACCCCTCCCAGTCCTACTCAGTGGTTTCTCTGTACTGTGGAGGACAAGCATTTCAGATGAATTGCTTCCTGGGTTTAGAACAGTTGCTGGGTTGTAACAGTTACTTACAACTCTTCTTTGACATCTCAGAATGTTATCCCTTCTGTCACTCAGGCCAAAAATATGTGCTGGTGTGCCTCCAGGCAAATCTCTTTCCGACTCCTATAAACACAGGACCTCTGTGCCATGTGCAGAACCATGGTGTCTTCTGTACAGTGTTTGACTCTCAGAACTGAAGAAAGGAATGGGGTGGAGACTTGGGGGATGCCAGAGGCCTGGCCAGGCGGTTCCCTAAGCAGTAGGCTACTGTGAAAGAGTAATCTTTGGACCCTTAACACTTAGGTTCAAATCTCCGCTCTTCGTGTAGGCTTGGATGAGTCACCTAATCTTTCCATCTATCTTAAAATTTAAATAAGAGGATTTTACAATCCCTGCCTTGTTATAAGCGTGAGAAAACCCAGATGGGGTAACTGGTATATAATAAATGCTCTAAGAGATATAAACCTAAGAGATGGAAATAATTCACAAGGAACCCCAGAAAGGAAATGACCTTGTTATCAGCCCTATATCCCAGGGTAAGAAATGCTATATTCAGAGGTGTGAACATGGAATATCTGCAGCCAACCTAGGTTCTTTGGCCTTGACTGAGGATTTTCCAGGCCAGTTACCACGGATACATTCCTGACTAACTTCAGATTATGCATTATAGAAGCTGTACTCTATAGATATCTCTATAGATATAGATATCTGTATCTCTGCAGCCTTTCAAGGCTGCTTATCACACAAATGCCTTTCCTCTTTTGCTAAGATTAGGATGGAGCCAAAATAAAGGAGTAAAATCTCATGTTAATCCCTGGGTCGCAAAGCTTGTATACCTCAGTTTTGCAAAAGGTACTTTCTACCCTGTATTTCTGCAACAGGAGATGGGGCGTAGCTTGTTTCATCGACTGCTTGCCTTGACTATTCAAAGTCCCAGGTTCAGTCCTCAGCACTGCCTAAAACTGGCTGTGGTACATCTCTAATCCTGGCACTCAGGAGAGGAAGGCAGGATGAACAGAGCTTCAGGACCACCCTGGGCTATATAGGGAATTTAAGGCCAGCCTGGGAAATAGGAGACCTTGTCTTGCAGAGAAGGGATGATATCTCTTATTTAAGAACCAATTGGAACTGGAACATCACTGTCCTTCTCTCTTGCTCAGGTTTGTTCTGAATGAACTGGTACAGACAGAGAAGGACTACGTCAAGGACCTGGGGATCGTGGTGGAGGTGAGCAGATGGCGAGGTGGCTGTATCTGTGCTCACTCGATCAGGAGCAAACTGGACCCTACCTGGGCCCAAGTGCTTTAAACTGGTGGCTATGCTTATTTGACTCTCTGGTAATTTGCAGAAATGAAACTAAAAACAGTACAATTCAGGCAGAACCATGGAGACAGATTTTGTTTTCCTCTTGAAATACTTTAATGCGTTTAGAGGGAGGTAGGGCCTGGTTGGGTGGGAGAAGCTACCACAGTGCTGTCTTCAGATCGACACAGAGTGTGGGCTGACATGGGTGCTAAAGGACGGGTCTTGCCCAGAACGCTGTCTGTGCAGTCTGCCGCTAATGTCACCTCTGTGGTGCAGGGCTTCATGAAGAGAATAGAAGAGAAGGGGGTCCCTGAGGACATGCGAGGGAAAGAAAAGATCGTGTTTGGAAACATCCACCAGATTTATGACTGGCATAAAGAGTGAGTTCTGAGCTTCCCTGAGAGTGGGGTACCTGCCCCTTGCATCTGACCTGAGCGGGGTGTTTGAGGGGAAGCCCCTGTCATGAATCATCTTGTCACTGAGAGAGGATGTCTCGCCAAGTAGTGTGACTTCCTCCTCCTCTCTCCTTTTAGTTTTTTCCTGGCTGAACTGGAAAAATGTATCCAAGAGCAAGACAGATTGGCCCAGCTCTTCATTAAACATGTGAGTGTCACCCCAATTGTCCCCATCTCCCCGGGTGCCAACATACTCATTTTAAAAATCCTCCTATCTTCAGCTCTTCTCGAGTTTGCTCTCTCTCAACACTCTGGTTTTATTTTTTTTTTTAATATATTTGGTCATTTCGCCGTCCTGTTCATTCCTTGTCTTTAACTACCCTTGACTCTGGGGGTGGGGGGAGGTGAGCCAATAGCCAAGGTGCGTGATTGTCATATTTTCCTCTGTACCAGGAGCGGAAGCTGCACATTTATGTGTGGTACTGCCAGAACAAGCCGCGCTCTGAATACATCGTGGCTGAATACGATGCCTACTTTGAGGTAAGCTGCTCCCTGTAGGCTCCCTTCACTCCCAGGCCAAGATAGCTGCAATGAGACACACCCCAGGTCCCCCATCCACAGGTCCCCCTGCCAGTGGTCTTCATGGCAGGAAACCAGCCTCTGAAGAGCTGGTACCTTAAGTCCATCCCCATATGTGCCTTTGCTTGAGGAGGAGCTGAGGTTGCTCTGTTGAGAAGCCCCCGTTTACAGGAAGACTCTGTCACAGACTGTCTGTGGAAGCTCTTGTTTTCATGTGATCACTGAGCACTGAGGTGTCCACACTCCTCCCCACCTACCCCTAGGAACGTTGCTAAGTGCTTGCCCCTGGTTAAAGGGTTTACTGTCACTTCACAGTCAGCCATGTTCTCAGCCTCTAGCTGGTCTCTCACGCCTTTGAACTGATCCATCCACAGCACCCCAAGCCTTGGGATCTTTTCTTTCTAATATCATTCCCATGTCTAGCATATCCAAGTGTATAGATTCCCCAGCCTGGCAGGAGCACTTCTGAGGGTGAAGAGGCAACACTACCCCTCCCCTGGCACCCTTAGAAAGAGCCCTGTGTGTTGAGAGAACAGAATTCAGGATCTAGCCTTGTAGGCCTATTGTGTCTGAGGGAAAGCCCTCTCCTGATTCTTTCCTGAAGTGGTAGAGAGAGCATAGTACCGGTTTCAGCTTTTCTCCCAGGACTAAGGTGGAAGATAATGGTTTGACAGTGTCCACTGTGAATATTCAGGAGCCAAGCAAGGCCTTTGGGGGTGGGGATGGGGGGGAGGGGGCTGTGTGATGCATTGCTCAGACATGAACAGCAGAGTAGACAGTTGTAGTGTGAAGATTTGGAAGATTTTATGGAAATCTTAAAAACTAGCCACTCACCCCTTTTACCTTTGCTTTTCAGGAGGTTAAACAAGAGATCAATCAAAGGCTGACCCTTAGTGACTTCCTCATCAAGCCCATTCAGAGAATAACAAAGTACCAGCTGCTACTCAAGGTGAGAAGCTGGGAGCCGGGATCCAGGCTGGAGAAGGGTCTCCTCTGGCAGGAGCCGTGGGCATAGGGCTTGGGAACACCTCCATTACACCGTCCTTCAGGGCTGGAAATCGGCATGGAATAGCTTGCATGGCCCTTGTTTCTGCCCGAAGTTGCTTGTTTTCAGTTTTACTTTGTTTTGTTTTCCTTTGATTTATCTTACGCTCATGCCCATCTCACTCTCTTTTTCATCCTTCTTGGGGAACTGAGCCAAGGGCCCTACCTGTGTACCAGTAGTTCTCAACCTTCCTAATGCCGCAGCTCTTTAATACAGTTTCTCACGCTGTGGTGACCCCCAACCATAGAAGAATTTTGATGCTACTTCATAACTGTAATTTTGATACTGTTACGAGTCGAAGTATAAATATTTGCTATGCAGGTATCTGACGTGCGACCCCCAGGTTGAGAACCTCGGCTCTATGCTGTACCTCCACCCTGAGCCCCTTCTCTCATTTTGTTCCAGCCACAGACTCAATGGCTTTGAAAACTAAAGCATAAGCCAGGTGCGTGGTGACACTCATCAAGAAGGTCATGAGTATGTAGCCAGCCTGGTCTATGAAGTGAGACCCTGTGTCAAACAAACAGTAAAGCCCTAGAAAATAGCAAGCATGTAAGGCCAGAATGGCATATGAGGGAATAGGCGGAGTCTGGAGACCTTACATAGTCCCTAAGGTTCAATCATGTTCTAAACAAATTAGCCTGTTTCTTTTTCCTCTTCTGGAGACAAGAGGTCAAGTGGAAGAGAAAGACTTGACTCTCCTTTCTCCTGTCCGTCTTCTCACAGTCCCACTGTCCTTCCCTTCTCTTCCCTGCGGTTTATTTGTTATATTCCATCTCTATGTCTAACATGACTCATTGTTCACCATTGTCACCTCCACCGGGAAGGGAAGTCTTTGGGGTGTTGTTGGGTTGTAGGATAAGTTTTTTTTTTTTTTTTTTTATGGCTCTCTGGCTATTTTACTATGTGATTCACCCTCCCACGCCCTTCCTCGCTAGGACTTCCTGCGATACAGTGAGAAGGCTGGTTTGGAGTGTTCCGATATCGAGGTAGGTTTCTGCTTGTAATGCTTGCTCTTCGTAGGGACCATATCAAGTGGCTTGTCCCCAAAGGAGGTCCAGGGTCCAAGCCACTCCCCTCTTAGTCAGCAGCAGGAGGAATAGCAAGTGCTGTTGAACATGGAGTGTTTCTAGAATTCAGGAATTCCCGTCCATCTGTCCTGGGCCAACCCAGAGTGTAGTCCTCTGGTGTTTGTGGCTCTTACTGGGTAAGAGCGATATTTGACACTTGGTAAAATTGCTAAGATCCAATGTGCAACTTTGTCCCTGGCTCCAGGTGGTATTTGACCCTACCACATAAATTACTCCATTTCCATTCCCCCCACACCCTGAGGATTACCCCCTAAGTGAGTCCTTTGCACTGCCACAGGGATTATTTTAAGCCAAAGAGGGTTGCAGCCATTTCTGGCAGGTTATTTTAGGTCAAACCCTCCCGTGTTTCAACAACCAGGCTAAGCTGTTGCTTGGGCGTTCTGAAAGCAACACAGAAGAGAAAGAAAATAGAAGGGGAGGGCATAAAATAAAAATGGGAGGTAGAGAAAGGCTGGGCCGGGTAGCATTTCCCCGTGTGTGTCACGGTTGACATGGCTAACGCCAGCCTCTCTTATCTAAAAACCCCACACAGGCCTCTGAGAGTGGGCCACAGGGACCGCACCCTCTCCGACAACAAAGGGACTATGGGAGATAAGTCCCTCTTTCCAGCCCTGAGTTTTGTGAGCTTCCTACTGGATTTTGGTTCCTGCATCCTGAATAACATGTTCTTTCCCACAGAAAGCAGTGGAGTTAATGTGCCTTGTCCCCAAGCGCTGTAATGACATGATGAATCTGGGACGCCTGCAGGGCTTTGAGGTAAGCCCTTAGAGGTTCCCCTCCAGTTCACAGATCTGGAAGATGGACCTATTGTAGAAGTTCAGTGATAATGGAGAAATAAAGGTTTGGGCCAAACTGGCAACAGAATTCTAAGGGGATTGGAAAGAAATGAAGTTTCTTATGACCGAGCCAATGGTCTCTTCCCTTCCTCCTGATTGAGAAACGTGTACATCCCAGGTACTGCAGGCTGTGTGGGAAGCCAGGAACCCATGTGGGGAAACAAACTGTTCTCCAGGGGCAGGTCTTTTGTAGAGGTCTGTGTAATGATTGGATCTCAGGTCAGTGAAAGTGTAAAGCTCTAAAACATCACACGAAGTCTTAAGGGGGAAAGCTAGAAGTCCAGAGGACACACTGGTTCAGAAGAGTGGCCATAGCAGAACACTATGCGTTGGATGGCTTCAACGACAAAAATTCCTGCTCACCAGTCTGAGGCCTGAGCGGCTGTGAGGGAGGATCTGCTCCTTGATGTGTTTGTGGCATCTTCATGACCCTGTGGCATTTCTGGATCACATCACCTTCCCTCTCGATGTGCGATTATGTCTGTGTCCAAACCTCCCCTTTCATAATCCTCCCTCCCAGTATTCCCGAAGTCTAAGGTCTCATTATTTTTTCTTTGAAGAGAAGAGATTCCTGGAAGTTGAGATAGTTAGGAAAGCGGTAGCCTAGCCCAGCTCTGTCAAGTTCAAGTGCAGAAGGAAGGCTGGCTGTGGTATCACGGAGGATGGGAGATGCTACAGCCCAGTGTGGGTTGTCCTCCTCTCCCTTCTAGTCCATCCTGCCTGCCCCTGCCTGGGTCCCATGCTTTTACATGATCGGAACCAGGTGGCCTATTTTCATGGGTTCCCAGCTCTCTAGGTAGACCTGTCAGATATTAGTTGAGTTGAGTATTCTTGGGTAGTTTCTTGTTAGTCTTCCTGGAGAGATTGTATGCTTTTCTCTCTTGGCCTTATACCAAGCCTAAGGCTATTGTAAGCAAGTCAAGTACCCTGCTGCCTCTGCTCTTCAACCTTGACCTGGTGTTTTCTGAATAGGAGTCTAGCTAGCTTTCTCTGAGTCCCTTCAGTAGTGAGTGACTGCTGAAGGGAAGGAGGGCATCCGTTTATGTTGTCTGACCCATCTGTGTGTGTGTGTGTGTGTGTGTGTGTGTGTGTGTGTATGTCTTTGTCTCTCTGTCTCTGTCTGTCTGTCTGTCTCTGTGTGTGTGTGTGTGTGTGTGTGTGTGTGTGTGTGTGTGTGTGTGAAGTTTTCTCTTGTAAATCACACACCTGTATTTTCATCATCCAGCCACAGAGAATCTGTTCTGCATTCATTCCTTCAGCTGACTGGAAAGGACAGTGAGCATCTGCTCCCTCTCTGGGCCCCTCATTCCTGTTGTCTCCCTCTCAGATCTTGTAGTTTTTTCCTTTAGCCCTGGCTGCCTGCACCCCGAGTTCTTGTGTAATGTTAGTAAAGTGTGTAGTGCTTTTCTGGCTAGCTAGTCACTGGCTTAATATTAACTTTGGACCAGGGTAGAGATAAGCCTGTTCTCTTGCTGACCTTGGCAGTCAGGAGCCATGCTCCAAGCAAAGGGCGGGTGTTTCTCAGTAACATGAAGGAAAAATGACCCCTGTGCCAGGGAATGCTTGGCATATGGCATCACATGCAGGGCATGACTGATATTTGCACTAAAGGACAGAAGTTGCCCTAAGAAAGAGTATATTCCATAGACCCTGTGACCTCTCTCCCAGATGTCAGTCTTCGTACTGCAAAGCAATAAAAAATAAATAAATAAATGATAAATAAGAGTCTTCCTGATAGGTTCCATGAAGATCGCTGGATGGGCACATTCCCTTTAAAAATGTGTCTGAGAAGCTGACTAGAAAGCTGGCAAACCAGATGTGCTTTCCTATCCCAGCTAGATAGTATGTACCTTGATAGCTGGCATCATTTTCAGAAGGATCACAGGGTCCAGAGAAATATCTCTGATCTTATAAGGGTAATGATATATATATATATATATATGTATATATATATATATATATATCTTCCAACTAACTTTATCTGTCAGTCTTACCAAGAAACTAAAACTTCAGAGCATCCCTGTCTTAGATAGGAGGAGGTGAGAGGGACCCACTTCATCAGGTTATTTGAGATCCTGTTTATATCACTCTCCTTGGCCACAATGACAAGATTCTCAAAGCTGCAAGGGAAGATAGACTACTTCCAGCTCTGAGCATCGTGAGTCTTCTTCAATTAAAAAAACAAAAAACAAACAAACAAAAAAAAACCATACAGGAGAGAGCACATAGCAAAGTGGTATACACCTTTAATCCCATCACTCCAGAGACAGAGGCAGATGAATCTCTGAGAGTTCAAGGCCAACCTAATCTACCTAGCAAGTTTCAGGCCAGCTTCAGGCCAGCCAAAGCTACATGTGGAAGTATATATATATATGTGTGTCCTGGCATTCTGTTTTAGCTGATTTCTTCTGGCACTTTCGGACATTGTTTCTTGTTGATTCCATGACGTAAGCCTTTTACTTCTAACAGCCCTCTATGAATAGGGAAATGTCTGTAGTCTATCCCCTGATGAGTAATTGGGTCCTAATTCAGTGTCTTGCTGGAGTTCCAAGGCTTTGACTATCAGATCTGTTGTCTACATCTCCACAGGCAGGAAACATGTAGCCCGAGAGCTGAGTCTATCTTTTTATGACCCTCCCTTGACCTTTGTCTCCATCAGGGCACCCTGACCGCCCAGGGCAAGCTTTTGCAGCAGGACACGTTCTATGTGATTGAGCTGGATGCTGGCATGCAGTCCCGGACCAAGGAGAGGCGTGTGTTTCTCTTTGAGCAGATCGTCATCTTCAGTGAACTTCTCCGAAAGGGGTCCCTCACCCCAGGCTACATGTTCAAAAGGAGCATCAAGGTGACAAGGGGCAGTGGGGATGCAAAGGGGCAAAGAAGGACATTGAAGGGGCTGAAGTTAACTGGTGATAGTGATAAGAAGCAGTGACAGGCCCAGGGCCAGTCTCCAGCATGACCACCCCATCTGTGTCATTTACCCAAAGGCAGAGCTTGAGACTTTACTCTTAAATACGGAGTAAATTTGGATACCTCTGCTGAGATTAGAAATTTTGAAAGAGAAGGTGGAGAAATTTCTTAACACTTAAGAGCACTGGCTGCTCTTCCGAAGGGCCTGGGTTTGGTTCCTAGCACCCACATAGTGGCTCACAACCACCTGTAACTCCAGATCCAGGGAATCTGATGCCCTCTACTGACCTCCACGGGCACCAAGCATGAATGTGGCATACAGATAAAACACTTATACATAAAAATACAAATGAAAAAATATGAAGTTTAATTAAAAAAAATACCTCTGAAGGATGGTAGCTTGCATGTCGGTTTATTAAGTATGAAAAGGATAAACGTGTTTTATTTCAGATGAATTACCTGGTCCTGGAAGACAATGTGGATGATGACCCCTGCAAATTTGCACTCATGAACAGGGAGACTTCAGAAAGGGTCATTCTGCAGGCTGCCAACTCAGACATCCAGCAGGCCTGGGTGCAGGACATCAACCAAGTCCTAGAAACACAGAGGGACTTCTTAAATGGTACGTGATAGGCCTGCTTCTAGCAAGGCCATTTCCGGGGACCCTGCCCCTGAGCATCCTTGGGTCTACGTTCATGGAGACTTAAGAGGCCTGATCACATTCTGTATAGTCTCTGACCTCATATACTTTGTAGGCTCTTGTGTATGCATGTCCTTGTGATCCCACAGGCCACTGGGAATAATTTGGGGAAAAGTATAAGACAGGCACATCTTGTATTATAGGGGCCTGGATTCTATGATTCCTGTTTTCTCAGCTTGTAGCTGATGGCTGGTATGCTCTAGGATTATCTGGAAATAAATAGGAGTCTGGTAAAGCAGTTCAAATCCTTCCTGTTTTTCCAACAGGTGAGAGCCTGCCTAAGCTACCCAGCTAGCCAGCCTCGCCCCTTTCAGACGAGAAACGATTGCTTAGCCCAACTCAGTAGTATCCAAACTCTCCACAACAGACTGGTGGTCACTCAGACAGTGTGGGCCCTACAGGCATCCTCCATAAGAGGAGAAGTGGAATCGCTTTCCCATTCGGGTTTCACTTTTGTCCCTGCTGGTATCTGTTCACCTTTAGCTGAGCACGTGAGTGGAGGTGACAGCTAGAGGTAGTACTGCTCTACTAAGCTGGAACCTGAAGCTGAAGGTAAAATGGAAGCGGCAATGCAGTGAATGAGTAGCCTCACGACCACACACACACACACACACACACACACACAGGACATCACTTTCAGGAGTATCACCTCTTCTTATCTGTGAGATCTGCACTGTGCAGGCGACCGGTTGTCCCCATACATACATGCCTGTGCGTGCCTACAAACACCAGGTGCCCCATCTCTTCTCACCAGTATAGTAGCAAGGATTGTGGCCTATGCCTTTCTTGGTTTCCACATACACTCAAACATGTGCGTGCACATAACACCAGACCACCTTGGTGTGCACTTCTTACCTCTATTGAGATTGTTACCACATGGCCAGGTGTTCTTGCACATATACACATCCTCTCATGGGCCCACCTTTGAAAGGTTTCCCTCCTCTTCTTGCCATGCAGTCTCTAGACTCTTTGAGATGATATGAGCCACCAGTTGTCTAGTGTGGAACTGAATGCTCTGGGGAAAGGTAAGAGGCACCATCCTAGCTGAGGACCTTGGGTAGGACGGGATGATTCTCTGTGCCTCGCTCAGAAAGGAAACTGGGCCTAGATCTTTCTGCACATACTGGAGTACATGGGTGGGCAAGCAGTGCTCCACAGGACAGCATGGCCTACCCACCTGCCCTGTCACTTTTCTCTGAGGTAAGGAATGGTGTTGTCATCTTAATACAAAAGGTTAGGACGAGGGACTTGCTCAGTGGTTGAGTCCTTGTTTAGCATATACTCATGGGGTCTTGAGTTCAACCCTGTACCTTAAAAAAAAAATAATAAGTTTTCTGGATATTAAAGGAGAAAGCTACTATAAACAGGATCCCATGGCTTTTTTGTTGTTGTTATTTTATTTGGGGAAGGGGTGTTTCTCTGTGTAGACCTGGCTGTCCACCACAGCCTGGCTCAAGATTCCATGAGTTTTAAAGACAGAACATGGAAGTTCAATGTTGTTTCAAACTTCCAGGGAGTATTTAGGGGTCATGTTCCCAACTGGAAAAAGTTGTCAAGAGACATTACGAGTTCCCAAGATTCCCTTTTGTTTTAAAACACTGACAAACAACACAGATTAGAACTGAAAGCTATATAGTTTACAGTTTCTGAATATGCAGCTTTGAATAAACATAGCTTATGGCTGGTGTGATTTAATACAGAAATATGTGTAAAATAGATTCATCTAAGTTACATTCTAGGAGGAATTTCTCATGGACTAAGGTGGGAATGAGAGTTTTTAAAAAGCTCATCACTTTAGGACTAAAGTAAAATAAGAAATAGTAAGTTGAAACTGAAAATAAACAAATTAACAATAGTGGCTCTCAGGTATTCGCCCCTCCTCTCATAAAGGGTTAAACTAAGCTATTTGTCTGTTTCTTCACAGTTAATCCCTACATAACACGACATGGCTGCAGCCTGCTTATTTTTCATGTGAGGAAAAACAGACTTGAGGGCATTAAAGAAACTCATCTGAAGCAAAAGCAGTAGATGTTAGAAGAGGATCTGGGCTGGGAGGTGCATGGGAGGCAGAGACAGGCAGATCTCCAGGTTCTAGGCCAGCCTGGTCTACAGAGTGAGTCCCAAGACAGTCAGGGCTACACAAAGATATTCTGTCTCAAAAAATCAAAAACAGGGGATGAGGTGGGGGAGGGGTTCTGAACCCAAAGCTGTGACTTGAGAGCTGGTTCACTGGTTCTCCCATACAGTCACCGGCAGCAGAGTGGACATTCATCCTGTGCTCCCAAACAGACAAAGCAAAGAGAAAAGGAAAGAAGGGAGGAAGGAGGCATGGGAATGGGGTGGCCAGGCAGGAGATCAGACATAAGGGAATGGAGAGATGGCTCAGAGGTTAAAAGCACTGGCCACTCTTCCAGAGGTCCTGAGTTCAATTCCCAGCAACCACACGGTGGCTCATAACCACTTATAGTGAGATCTGGTGCCCTCTTCTGGCCTGCAGGTATACTGCAGACAAAATGCTGAACCCAAAAGGCAAAACCTCACTGTTAGAAATGCCTGGGTTTTGAGCTTGGCATGGCGGTGCATGTCTGTGATTGCAGCAGTCAGGAGGTTGAGGCAGGACTGAGTGAGAGAAACAGAGGCTTCCTTATTCCAAGACTGAGGCATTCCAGTTAAGGCTAGTGAGAGAATACAGGCCTAGCCTTTTTCATAGCTTATTGAAGAAAACAGTATTTTCCAGGGCTTTTGGGTAGTCAGTGCACATAACCATGTAGCACCCCAATTCCATGTCACGGGTAGAGTTTGCAACTCCGTTTACAGGGCTTACTGAGTGAGAAAGCACTAACAAATGCATTCTATGGTGTGCTTAAACTTGGAGCCACGCTGTTCCTAGCACTCTCAATGGATCAGCTTTTACATGGTCCCAAAAGACCTTTCTCCTGATTATAGTGAGTGGTGGAGCTCTCACTGAACTGGGTGATAATTACCTAAATGTTTAATGCCCACAGAATTCTCCCCAGAAGCCTCAGGGGCTGCGCTCAGGCAGGCCTGTTATATATACGTGGGAGAAGAGGTGATATACAGGACCAGGCTGCTTACGGACACATGTGCAGGCACCTCCACCGGTCTTCCCTTGAGACCTGATTAGAAAGGGGTGTGTGACCCCTGTTGAGTCTGTTGAGATGCATACTACACCCGTCGCTGTGTGCTGGGCTGCAACAGCTAAAATCTACTTAAATTGTTGTTGCGGCAAATACCGGTAAAAACAGCCTAATTGTGCTTGCCCTGAGAGTCCTTTACACGGCAGTCTGCCATGGTGGCTTTTCCTGGCTGTACCTCTTTAGTGCTCAAACCTTTTAATCTAACACCTTTATGGTTATGACGTCCAGCTGTGCTGAGCCTTCTAGGTACCATGCCCCCCATCTCCCTTTCCTGTTTCGTCCCCTCCCCTTCCATGGAGACCTGTGACCCTACACACAAGTCTTCTGAGTGCTAACTATTCCCAATGCTTCACACATACTTCCTTCTGGCAGTTTTAAATGTCAGAGTGGCAGCCAGTTCCCTTCTGAAGCTCTTTAAACACTCCAGCATAAACACCCTAGCATAAACACTGGTACCCAGCAGCCTCTGCATCGCTGTGGGATCCCTGAAGGTAGAGTAACTCACTCTTCTTGTCTGCAGCACTCCAGTCACCCATTGAGTATCAGCGGAAGGAAAGGAACACAGCAGTGATCCGGTCCCAGCCTCCAAGGGTTCCACAAGCCAGCCCCAGGCCCTATTCTTCTGGCCCAGTGGGCTCAGAGAAGCCCCCCAAGGGCTCCAGCTACAACCCGCCTCTGCCACCCCTGAAGATATCTACCTCCAATGGCAGTCCAGGGTTTGACTACCACCAGCCGGGGGACAAGTTTGATGCTAGCAAGGTAAGTGGCAGCTTGCTCGTGCCCTTATCAAAGACATCCTTAGGAAAAAGCCTCTTCTCCTGTTTGCCATATTAGAAAGAGCCAGTCCCATCTAACAATGACATGTACCAGGACCTAAGAAGGAAGCTCACCCTCCATTGGCTGATATAGAAAGGGGAAGCTGATCCCTGAGCATGTGTGGATGCTACACTCCATACTCCACACTTCAAACACCACAGGGAAACAGTGTGCCGCACGTCTAGTCTGCACAGCTGGCTTCATCCTAAACCATAGTGGGAACAGGAGAAAACAGGAAAGTGCTAGCTGGGTTAGGAGCCAGGCGGTTTGCTTTCCACTCCAAACTGTGAGCCTTGCATTATAAATCTAGCGGATTTGCCCAGCAGACCTAAGTAGTCTCCAGAGCTCATTAGGTCTGGCAATTGGGACACCTGCATTTCTTACACACGTGGTCCAGTGTTATGGATGTAATTCTTTTCCCGAATCATTAGTTGATGCTGATTTTGTTCAAATGAATGGTTAACATGTAAGTTCAGTCCTGTACTACAGTAACTGCCCTGCCCACCTTTCTCACCGTACCACCTGAAATAATTTTCTACCCTAGAAAAACCCTGCCCGTGTGAATCAGTTGAAGTCACTTTGGCATTTTGTCAGCCATATGGAAGATTTTCTGGCTCTCACCATGCCCTAGGAGGCAGCCTGGCCTCCCGGGGAGTTACAGGTCTGTGTAGACGCAGCTGCCCCGGTATGACTCGCATGAAGAGGTCACATGGGCAGCGCCTCCTGTATGAATAAGTGCAGTGGTGGGGAGACCTCAGGATGTCCGTTTCACAGGCTAGCCCATGGCCTTACCTGTGCATCAGACACAGTACCGTTCTTACTCCTGTGTCAGAGAGGGTCAGGATAAGGAGCACAGGCAAGTGATGCTTCTTAAAAGGATAAAGAAATGAGCTGGGCATGGTGGTGCATGCCTGTGAATTCCAGCACTTGGGGAGGCTGAGGTTCAAGGATCACAAGTTCAAGGTCCTGGCTTACATGTCAAGTGAGGTGTAAAAGAGAGGGCGGGGAAGAGATGTAGCATTAAAGGGTCTATGTTCTTCCCACAGAGGAGGATTGTGACCCCTGACCTAACGTTCATCCTGACCTCAATCTGCCCAAGTGCTTACATGCCCCTGTGCTGATGACAGGTTCTTCCTGCCATCAGCAAGGGGGATGCCATCAGGAAGGTTGCATGCTGGAAAGGAGCTTCCAGTTGAAGGTGTGTCCGCAGCTCTCTCCGGGCACCATCTGAAGCCATTATAATACTTGGTTATATACTTCGATTATAATACTGTACTGCTATAAAATGTGCTTTCAGAGCATGTGTTCGAAAATGTCCGCACTCAGGAGTGCTCTGCTTTTCCGCTTGCCCTTCATCCTGCCAGTGAGCCATCTGGGCTCTGGCCATGCTCTAGGATACAGAGCAAGCTTGTGCGAACCACCCTCCTTGTGTCTGTGTGCCTTCCGTCCTTCTCTCCTAGCAGAACGACCTGGGAGGCTGCAATGGGACCTCATCCATGGCTGTAATCAAAGATTACTATGCACTGAAGGAGAACGAAATTTGTGTGAGCCAAGGTGAGGTGGTCCAGGTCCTCGCCGTCAACCAGCAGAACATGTGTCTGGTGTACCAGCCTGCCAGCGACCATTCCCCAGCAGCAGAAGGCTGGGTCCCAGGCAGCATCCTGGCACCCCTCACCAAAGCCACAGCATCGGCCGAAAGTAGTGACGGGAGCATCAAGTAAGTGCTTCCATGGCTTCTGGGAGAAGAGTATGTGGGCTAAAGAAAAAAAGTCAAAAAAAAAAAAAAAAAAAAAACAACGCAAAATGCAAACCCTGTAGGGAATGGCTGCTGCTTGTTCCTGATGTTGCCAGGGGGATGAGGGTGTGGAGCCGCCCGCCTGCAGCTGGGGGTGTCTAGGCTAGATCGCTCTGGGATCGTGGTGGTGGTGGTGATGGTGGATTTTACTTCCCTTTCGTTTATAATTTTCTGTTCATCTTTCCCCTTCTTTTTCCCCCCACTCGTTAAGAAAAGAACCCTACTGAAACCCTAGGGGACAAAAGGCATGCCTTCCGTTGCTACATTTGGCCCACCACGGGACTCACTGGACTGGACTTCTATTTATATTGTATGAAGTTACTGATATATATATATTTTTTTTGATTGGCACCTAGAAATGACCTTAGCACAAATGCCAGGCCTGGACAGGTCAGAGCCTGCTGCTTCTCCCAAAAGAGAGGGGATTTTTTTTTTTTTTTGGTTGTCCATGGCAATTCCTCTGTACAGATTGTAACTTTTTATTTTTATTTCTCTCCTCCCTGTCACTTTAATATATGTTCATGGTAATTTGTAAGATATTTCTTTTCCTTATTTTGATTGCAAAAAATCCTTCTGAACACATTCCTGTATAAAGCATTTTGCACTATTTAAAGAAACCCTTATGGATGAAGTCAGGTTGTGCAATATGAGGAGCCGCAATGTTTATCATTGTACCTGTAATGTAACTAATAATTTTAAATGTACTATTTTAAATATGTAAAATAAATTTTCACCATGAGCATGTTTTAATGAGGTTAAAGGTTAGTTGAGCCCCCATCTCATTATTCTCAGACTTTGAGTGTGAAATTAATTCTTTCCTTTCTTTTCTATAGTTTATGAGTTGGTTGGCTGCATTGGCAGGGTTTGGTTGGTTTTTTATTTTATTTATTTTTTCCTGTATCAAAAGTGCCTTTGTTGCTAAACCCTGGACCCTCCCCTTTCCTCTAAACATCCCCTCTGGATTTTCTCTGACTTTAGCAAAGGGGAATGACAGAGAGTCGGTGCTATCCAGAGGGTTCCTAGCACCTGGGTATCCTTCAAGTGCTGACGTCTGTGGGTGACCAGCATAGGGCAGTGCCAGCCTGCATTGCTTACAGCTTCACAGTTCATCACCCGTGGGAGGGTCCCAGGCACTGTCATGAGGTGACGGAGCAGCGACACCAGCAGAAATGTCCTACTTTGGTTCTTTTCTGTCAGGGAGTAGAAGGTACTGATGCCCCCGGCCTCTCTTGGTGACCATAGAAACCAGAAGTGGCCCCACAGTGAAATAAGCCCCACTTGTCCTAGTCTAGAGATGCTTATTTCAGAAACTTCGGATGGAAAGGCCACAGAGCCCCGATGTAACCAAGCCTCACAGAGGCTTGCTCTTAATGGGCAGTGCCCTCGTCACCCAGACACTGAGCCCACCTTCCCCGCCTCCACCTTTGGTGTCTTGGTCTCAGGAAAGAGGGGCAGAGAGAACAGATAAATGCAGCCACTAGCTTCTTGGGTTCCATGCAAGCCACAGTTTCACAAGGGTTGGTGGCACTGGAGGTGAGCCACTGACTAAATGCAGTACTAGTGTTAATCAGCAAAGGCCACTCACTCCCCCTTCCCTGGGCCTGCTATGACTACAGGGATGCCTACAGGATAAATGTCACTGAAACTGTGTCCACATCAGTCTCTGGGCTTGTGGCCAAGAGATCGAAGCTCCCCAAACCATGGCGACGTGTTCTTCTGGGAAGAAGAATTTGAAATTGAGCCTCTCCTGCCTCTCCTCCGATCTCCTCCTGTGCTATTTTTAACATTTCTCACCAACCACACTGGGGAGCCAGAGAGTGACAGTAAACAGGCGTACACCCAACGTGTGCACATAATATATACACATTATACCTTCTACCTTGGGATTCTTTTCAGCAGGGACCTCCCTGACTCAGGATGTTCCCAAGGGAGCCAGGGACGTGGATGTGGGAATAAAAGACAGAGACAAAAGTCTGCAGTTGGCAGTGTCATATGATCCAGGGTCGTCTTCCTTGTTTGATTCTCACTGGGGTAGAGAAGATGGTACTCTGGGAGGTCCTGAGGAGCTTCTGGTCAGGGGCTCTGAGACAAGCTCTGGCCTTTGGAAGGATCCCACTTTCCAGAACATGCCAGGCCATGATTGCGGTTGGCTTTTCCTCTTCAGGTTAATTGTTGAGGCTGTATATGCTAGGTAAGGAATGTTGCTAGAGCATCTACCTTGGGTTCCTTCGACTCCTGGTGGCTCTGGAGTGCTGTGGAGGAAAGGCATTTGAAGTATTTTCCTCCCAAATCTCACCTACCTCTCCCTTCATGAAGGTTCACTTCATAGAACCTTATCTGCTGAGCCAAATATTTAATCAGGAAACGCAGAAGGGATTACAGGCCTCACTCCAGACAAGAACTAACTCATGCAAATCCTGTGGCCATGAAACACTACTGCTGCTCAGGTCCCTGGTGCTGCTTAGGTTGTGGTTTTTGCTGCCCTTAACTCTGACAGAGCCTGTCTTCTGTAGCTGTGAAGTAGAACCCAGCCCCCAAGTGTGATAGATCGTGTGAAAGAACATAGCCGCTGTCAATTTCCTGGGAGCACACACTGGGCCATGTTCCAACAGGGAAGTTGAAACTCTTTAGTGACTGGGCTCTATAGTCACAAACACCGAGTGATGTGGAGGACATACACGGAAACCTTGTCCTGAAGTATCCAGATATGTGTGGGCTATACACCTCTACTTACCAAGGCAACTTCTTCAGAATCCTTGGCACTCCCCCAGCGCTTGAGAGTGCTTTACCCCAGATAATATGTGAGGTTTAATAGAAGGTGTCAGTGGCTTGTTTGCACAGAATAAAATGTATTTCTTTGTCTTTCCTGTTCTGTACTTATCCCATCCACCATGCCCTTGTCAAAACGCCACCTCAGTCCTAGGAGGCTTCATCAGATGCTCAAAGAAAACCTCCCTGGGTCTAGTGACCTGGTACCCATTTTTTTCCAGATGCTGTACTTCACCTAGCTTGCTTTTAGGAAGGGTCAAAGTTCATCCTCTCTTCCAGTTAGAGGTGAGGTCAGCCCCAGCCACCTCAGGAGCTGGTACGTAGGTCTGGGACCCTGAAGCTGGCAGGTGCTTCACTGGACCATTTCTGATACGCAGCGGTGGTGAGCCCACCCACCACCTCACGCTGCTCCATCCTGCCATTTTGATTGGTGCATTTTTTGGTATAACAGGAAGTCATGCTCATGGCACACTCTACGCATGAGAAAACGGGCAGACGTGGAGAACACGGGTAAAAATGAAGCCACAGGGCCCCGTAAACCCAAGGATATTCTGGGCAACAAAGTCTCTGTTAAAGTGAGTAAGGTGTTCGGAACTGGGTCCCTGTCATCTGTTCCCTCCCTGAAGCATCCTCACAGGCAGCTTGGGTGGGTGGGGATTGGCTACTTATTCACTGCCCAGTGTGGGGACCAAAGGGGGAGTAGTTTAGCAGGATTCTGCATGCAAGATCAATCTGTTTTTTATTCTATTTATTTCTCCTGGCACCTTCGACTCAAGTAAGTACTTCTCTTTTCCTTTTCTTTTATGATGAAGCAGATGTTTTGCAGCAAAATTATCTGCAGCATCCTTAGAAATGCAAGGCGCTTGGTTCATATTAAACTTCTCAAAGATGCCCATTCAGTAGCCTAGGTTTGGGAGCGCATTCAGGTTAAAGGGAGTATGCTCCAAACCCCTGATCTCATGAAGGCAGAGGTTTGGAACTTAAAGTCCATCATGCCCTTAGTAAAGTTTCATTTCTTTTCCCCAGACATTACTTGTAAGCAATTTCCTTATGTTTCCGCTGTGCATGGGAAAAAGATAGGAAGACACCTTGGTGAAGCCCTGGTTGGTTTTTAAATTATCTGTTACTTTGAACTATCAACTGTGAGCTTGGCAGACCCTCCATTTTTCCCATCTAGAAACAATGTGGTGACCCGCCTTGTTAGATGACCCTGCTGCAATGCTTTGCCTCAGGACAATGAAAATCACACATTTATTATCTCTTGGGCACTTTGCCTTCCCAAGCAAAGAGCAACCAGAACATACTCAAGATCCTTTTGGGGAAAAGAAATTGGGAATCCCAGCCTCACCAAAGTGGACAGTTTAATTCCGGCACTCATGCTTCATCCGGTCGTCTTCATTGCTCTTGCCAGTGTGATAAACAGGTGTCCACAGTCCTCCGAGAGAGCATGCTGCTGCCATGATGCCCCGCACCCCAACTGAAAAGTCCCTGGTTGTTTCTCTGCCTGGTTTTCCATGTACATGCTTCTCTGATGCGCCCGCTAGCCAGACTACTGTGTGCTAACTGTGTTCTTTTTCTTCCCCTTCTTCATGCTGCCAACCAAGGAGACGAACAGTTCCGAGGAGTCAGAGTGTGATGATCTTGACCCTAATACTAGTATGGAGGTAGAAGCAGCTATGTTGTCCTATTTCCTACACTGCTTGCCTTTTCTCAGCGTGTTCTCTAATAGTGTCCTTGCTAGAATCCAGGGTGGCTCGTGCTTCTGTAACACCAGGCGATCTCAGAGTGTCCCATCCAGACTAAAGCAAAACAAAACAAAACCTAAACTCACCTCTATTTGGCTAGGAAACTCTGCTTTGGTATCATTTTTTTAAAAAAAAAAAACCTTGTGCTTTTCTCTTGAATGCTTTCTTAACATTTTTTTCCTTGGAAGGTTTGGCTTTATGTAGAAATTATCGAACTTAGTTATTCTTTTCATAGAAAACAGCTATAATTGGTAGTTGGCTCACAGCAGAAGGATAAGAGCCACCCCGTGGCTGGGTTTTGTTTTGTTTTGTTCTCCTTATAGTTTTCTCTACTCTTTCCTCTTCTTCTGTGCCCCTTTCTCTTCCTCTTGATCTTCTGGGCTCTGGTCCTTCGATGCTCTATGGTTTTTCTGGATGACCTGGCTCCTAGTTACTATGTGAACTGTAGCTGGTTAAGAACAAAGCAAGAAAGGATTAACTAGGGCATTCTCTCACCACTCCCAGGGCCCAGGCAGGGCCAGTAGCTATGGCTGCTGTATGAAAAGGCCCACCTAACAGCCTCTCTCCTGGAACCTTGATCTAGAGACAGTGAGGCAGGAACACGTGGTAGACCTTTTCCACACTGCAGGTTAGCGTGAATACGGGGAGTTAGAATAGTACCCCACCATCTTGAACATCCATTACCAAGTCTCTAACCACATAAACCCACAAACTCTGTAGAATCAGAGCAAGTCTGACCTAGCTTTTCTTGCTATTCAGACTTTCAGGGTAGACTGAAATATCTTTCTCCAAATCTGTGTTCCATCCCTACCAGCATATTAAAAATATAGATTTCCTCTATGCAAAATAATTTTGTTAGTTTTTAAATGTCTTTTTGACTATTCAAACATGTATAGAATATACTTTTATCACATCTACACCCCTCTGTTGCTCTTCCCCCCCCCCACTCCCTCCAAACCCCATCCTTCCCAACAAGTCACCTTCCTCCGTGCATAGTGTTTGTTTTATTCTTAAATACCCGCTGAATTTAGTCAGTGTTCCTCACTCAAGCACAGGCTACCTACCCCACTGAAGAAATGAGGACAACCCCCACTCCCACCTCAGCAATGACAATAGCTCCGCAGCTGGGGATGGGGCCTAATGTGTCCCTCGCCTCTTCCTCATGTAATCTTGTCAGGCCCAATCTTGGGCAGATAGCCCCAGCTATGAGTTCATGTTGCAACAGCCATATTGAGTCCTCTGCATCCTCCAGATCTTGCGTTCTCTCTGTCCCCTCTTCTAGGGTGTTCCCAGTGTCTGGGGCAGGGCGGGGCAGGGATATGTGTAAAGCTCATCCTCTAGATGTTGCGTTCTCTCTGTCCCCTCTTCTAGGGAGTTCCCAGTGTCTGGGGGCGGGGCGGGGCGGGGCGGGGATATGTGTAAAGCTCATGTCTCACATATGGCCAAGCACTCAGAAGTCGCTCATCCTCAGCACTTTAATCATCTGTGGATCTATACATTAACCACTGCCCCATGCAGAAAGGAAGCTTCTCTATCAGGCACTGGTGGCACACACCTTCAATCCCAGCACTCGGGAGGCACAGGCAAGTGGATCTCTGAGTTCAGGGCCAACCTGGTCTACAGAACTAGTCTATAGAACTAGTTCCAGGACATCCAGGGCTACACACACACACACACACACACACACACACACAGAGAGAGAGAGAGAGAGAGAGAGAGAGAGAGAGACAGAGAGACAGAGAGAGACAGAGAGACAGAGAGAGACAGAGAGACAGAGAGAGTCTCAGAAAGAAAAAGAAAGAAAGAAAGAAAGGAAGGAAGGAAGGAAGGAAGGAAGGAAGGAAGGAAGGAAGAAAGGAAAAAGGAAAGGAAAAAGAAAGACCTCCAAGAGTAGCAATGATCCATGGCTACAAACATAAATATGTAGAAGACAGTTTGACACCGTGTCATTTAACATAACACTAGTAGGTTTCCCCTAAACCCTTTCTTACATGTAGCCCTAAAGTTTTCACCTAATGAGGTATCATCATCATCATCATTAATTGCTTAGCATAATCTCTAAGAAGTCCACCACCATATTACGAAAACAACTAAAAAACCCCTGAGAGACCAGGTGGCCTAAGAAGAGGAAAGCCAGCTGTGGAAGAAGCCACTTGAATTGGGCTGAGCCAGGAGGCTGGGGGTTGAAAACAGGAGCTGTGCTCTAATAAGCAGTCCCCTGTGGGTGTGTCCGCCACGGAGCTGAGTCTGCCAGGTGTGGGTCAGTAGAGCACTCTGCTGTGGAAGGAAGCGGTGGGGCATTCACAGCCCAAATGCATGTTAGAGATGGGGAAGGCAGGGAGATTCCTGACTGCTTTCCTTGCATTTCATAAGACAGGCACCGGCAGGCATGGGTCCCACACCTGTCAACATCTGTCCCACATCTGTTATTGTAGACACCCATGTTGCTGTATCACTGTGTCTAGGTATCTCTGGCGTATACTGAAGGAGTCAGCTGCAAGTAGAGGAAAACCAGACAGAGTGGGGAGTGGGGGATAGGAGCCAAGTATCTGTGTCCCAAGGCACCTTGGGACTTTGTCTAGCTCTAGCAGGGTAGGGAGAGAAGAGTGTGATTCCTACACTGTCAGAGAAGAGGTGAATGCACAGGGATGTGCCAGTTGTCATCCACTGAGAAAATTAACTGGCCTAGTCAGATGTTTCCTTCTATACTTAGAAGAACACACACACACACACCCTACCTTAGCCCTGCTTTGAAGTAAACCCATTTTTAAGGTTCTTCATATTCAAAGCTGAGTAACCTCTTTGTGAACTGAATGAATGGGCCCCTGAGAGATGCTACAGCTACCCAAGCAAAGACCTCAGGGTGTCCTTGATGGTAGAAGAAAGCCCCAATGTGTGTTGCTACATGAACAGAAAGTTTTTACATATGATAGTTTTACGTATGATTACATATGAGACGCAAAGCTTCCTGTAGGCAGAAAGTTCAGTTAACCTAACCGCTCGAGGGGGGATGTGTGGATCTGCCCATTGCTCCAGGGTGTCCAGCACAGTTGTCCCAACAACCTGGCATTCATTCCATGATGACCTTCCCAAGGGTCCATGAGCTCCCCTGAACCTGTCACTATCCTGATGGTCATCTCCGATGTTGGCTTAGTGACTTCAGAGACAAAAAAACACGTGGAACCTTGAACATCGAGTTGTTAAACACGGGCGACATGAAAATGGAACTTTATGGCAGCAGAAGTGGTAGACAAAAATGGCTGGTAGTGCATGCTGAAGACCAGGCGAAACCCAGATGGCTGCGCTTCCTCCGAAAGGCCTCTTGCTGCCAAGGCGGTAGCTTGGAACCTATTCCCAAAGCTCCCCAGCCTCACTCTCGTCTTCTTGTCTTGTATTCTGTGCTCTCGCTGAGCTAAGCAGCAGCCCCCTCTAGTCCTCTCTAGACTCAGCCTCTGTTCCTGGAACCCCAAAACCTGGCACTATGTACCCATGCTCCATGCCTAGACTCCAGATGTGGAAGTCCTGCCCTACTGACCCTTGACCTGATAGCTGCATGTCCATCCTGCAGTAAACTATAAATGGACTCATCTGCCTCCATGAGAATCGTCACCAAGGCACCCCCTACCTTCTCTAGCTGGGGACCACATGCCTTCAAGAGGCAGTTTGCTGGGTCTTTACAACTGATGCATTCTATCCGGGTATATATTTGAGTCTCCACAGTACCCTAAGAAGACATAGGCTGTCCTTGAAAGCAGTTTAGAGAGGAGACTGCAGCCCACTGGATCCTCAGATTTAACCAGACACGTACATTAAGGGAGGCTGTTGCCACAGCCCTTCCTTCCTCTGTCAACCAATGCTTTTGGATATTCTCACATAGCCATCCACCCCCAGCACTGAAGGCCATACCACAGGCCACAGCACGACAGGCACAGGTCCCTGCATCCCCTGTCTGCCTGGCCATCTCTCCATCTGTCACCACACCACATGGAGAACTATTTTAAAACTGAATGTCTGTAGTTCAGCTTTTCCTTGCACCCTTGGGGGGAGGGAGTGAATGGGGACATTATGTGTGAAAGAAATTTACATGCAAAAAAAATTCCAAATGAGGATAAAAATGAAACACTGGGGTCTCTTGAGAACAGCTCTTCTGGGCTTAGAGCCACATGGCTGCCTGCCAGCTTCTTCAGTCCCATGACCACCCCCATGTCTACAAGTGATACTCTAGTCCAAAGCTGGGGCCTGAGTACCCAGGCCCAGGATCTGTCTCTAGCCAGGGCCTGTCTCTGAGAAACCGACATGTTCTGGGCTAGATTTCCCTTTGGACTCATAGCTGCTGCCAGGAGGTTCCCGTACAGCCTCTGAAAAGCTGGGAAGCTCATTCCTGGGTTTTCACAGATCCTCAACCCCACATTTCCACCTGCCCAAATCACTCACCGAGGTTGAAAACTCTGAACCAGTTGCCAGACTTGGGTCTTTATCTCCGAGAATCAGAATTCTCAGCCCAGCTCTTCCATCGAATCTAATTAACTACCTGCATTTTAACTTCTTTAATAAAGCTCCGTAGCCCTCTTGGCAGCGGCCAATCTATCCGAGTGAGAAAGATTCCCCGACCCCTGCAGGCTTTGCCCTCTTTCAGCTGCCAGCTCTGTGGCTTAGGGAGCTAATGAGGACAGAATCATAGAGAAGGGCTCTGAACGGAGGCAAGGCTAGACCCTTGCAAAAAGGAGGCTAATGGGGAGGTATTTCTAATCAGGGTAGAAGTAGCGTTTTCAACGGCACCTTGGGAGCCTGTGCATTTGTAGATTCCTCTTGCCGCTTTACAGTGGCCATAACGAAAATGAGCATCCTTCCTGTTGGAAGAGCAGAGTTCAGCGACAGGAAAGACTTCCCCGAGTTGTGTGATCATCACTGGCTTCTGT